GGGGCCATACTGGAATTTCACGGCGAATGCGCCTTCATGGTTGCGGATCATTTTTTTGGTGTGAGTTCATGGTTGTGAAGCCGAATGTTCCCTTGTCGGATTCCAGTGTCTCCTGTCTCGACATTTCTCGTCTATCTCTCCCATCTCCTTCTCTCTGATTTGAATGAGGATGTTTTATGAGTCTGTCTCTCCTATGAACAAAAGTTAATCCTCGTGATTTCCCGCGAAAAATAACTTCTTCCGAAACTCTTCCATTAGTTTCCTGGGTAATCCCCGGATGTAAGGGAGCTCAATCCTCTTGTCTTGTGAACGGTGGATGCGTGTGTGCTATCCCCCGATTAGTTTTTGATGCACCATTGTCATTTTCGCACCTTCCACAGTGGATGTATGCATAGGAATGCTTGTATGTGAGTTGGTTGTGTTGATTAGACCCAGAACTCGACGGGATTTTGTTCGAGAATGCAAGAGTGTTTAGATCTGTCATTCTGAATACACTGCGCATGCCTTCTGCCTTATACTGCATGACATCTGCAGACAGTCTAGTATGGGGCAGCCTCGAAAAAGCCAGGCACCTCGGCTTTTTGTCGATCTGGTCTACTGAACCTGAGTTGCGGATTGATCCCTCGAAACTCCACCCCGATTATTGCATGGTTCTACGATGCTTCCCTCGTGTTGAAAGGAAGAAAAATGTTAGTTCGTTTTTACGATTGTACTTTTTGATGACGTCCCAGGGTTTTTGCAAACTCATTCCGATTGATTGACATGTGGACTGACGGGCGTACCTCGATCGGGCGCCAACCTCCCATATCTCCCTCGCCAACGCGCCCCTTCCCTTACAACGAGGAAAGGACACGTGTTTGCGAGCGGGACGTACGAGAAGCTGTCGCAGGGATCGGCGGGCGATATTACTTCCCTCCCAAAAATCGTTGTTCTGGATTCGTGGACGCGGACTTTGTCATTGTCGATACGCACTACCCGCCTTACTCAGTACTATTGCCATTTAACGAGCTGATCGTCGTTCCGTGGACGGCTGTGGCACCCCATTGGCCTCGAACCCTGTGCATGGAGTGCCAGTGTTTCGATCGCTACGAATCAAAGGGTTTTCACTACCGAATACGGAGTGAAGACGAGCACAAGAGCCACGCGGCTGAGACCCCCCACGTCGGACTCGGAACTGACCAACGAGCGACGTCGGGACTTGATACGAAAACGGGACACGCGGACTGTACCGAAGCCCTTCCGCTCTAAATGAAGATCCACAACGCGGTGGGAAGTTCGACAATACTTTTTAGATTGAATTTGGATTTTTCTCTTTTCGTGCCGTGCCCGTGCGCGCATCCTGCGACGCACGAAAGCAACTGACTTACTTCATCGGACCAGCACGGGGGATTTCAGTTATGTCTGTGTCCCCACACTCAATTTTCCAAAAATCCTTGGCACACACCATCTTGCTGTTTTTCTGGGCCTTCTTTCTGCACCCTTAGCACTCCGAACGGAAGATAGCATAGGGCGTGAGGTTTGTGCGTCACATACGTCCATTTAGTTTTTTGAAAGAGGGGCTGGAAACTTAAAGAGATTCTGGTATGTCAACTTAAAATGTATATAGTTTTGTTTATTTTTGTCAATGATCCTTCCGCCGGATCACCTACGGAAACCTTGTTATGACTTCTCATTCCTAAATGATAAGGTTCAATGAACTTCTCTTAGCAACCCAAGCGGCTGATCGCCGAGATCACCGGGATCCAGACACTTCACGGGAGCATTCAATCGGCAGGAGCGACGGGCGGTGTGTACAAAGGGCAGGGACGTAATCGGAGGGAGCTGATAACTTACACCCACTAGGCATTACATCCATTTAGTTTTAGTTCCTTATTTGTTTGCATTTTTTTGAGAAGTATTGGTGAAGGGCCTGATGGTGGTGATGATAAGAACAGTCACCCGCATCAGAAGATTCAGGACCATATGTTTGGATGGCTCCTTTCTATGATGGGAAGTTGCACTTGCTGGAAATGGGGTCTAGCACCCTCTTAACCATTACTTGTTTAGAAAGGCATAGAGTTTGATAGGTGCCCTTACACCACCAATACCTCACCCAACCTTTTTTCCAGACGTGGCAGTTAAACCACCAGTACTTGGGCCATACATCGGCCGCGAGCCTTCCTCGTTAACGCGCTGCAGCCTTAGGGGGTCGGCCAAGGGAAGGTTCGATCGCTGCTCAATGACCGGGCCCCGATTCAGTTGGCATGGCACCAAAGAACAAAGAAACAAAAAAATGCAAATACACAAACGTTAAAAAGAAAGAAAACGATTCAAATACACAAAAGTAAAAAAGAAAGAAAACGAAAGGGAATAAACAAAGTCACGCGGGAGGGAGGGAGGGAGAGAGCGAGAGAAAAAGAGAGAGAGAGAGAGAGAGAGAGAGAGAGAGAGAGAGAGAGAGAGAGAGAGAGAGAGAGAGAGAGAGAGAGAGAGAGAGAG